ATGCTGATCATACCATACAAAGATCATGGGGTGATAAAGCAGAGCGAGGAATATAAAGTTACAGCTGCAAAGCAGGTCCACAAAAAGCAAGATCAAAAGTAGATTTGAAATTTTGAGAAGTCCATTCAGAAGTCTGACAACAGCGCGGAAGAAGCTGTTCTTGAATCTGTTGGTACACATGTTTAAACTTTTGTATCTTCTGCCTGATGGAAGAGGTTGGAAGAGACTATAAACTGGGGTGGGAGGGGACTTTGATGTTGGCTGCCTTTCCGAGGCAGTGAAACGTGTAAATTGAATCAATGAATGGAAGGAAGTTACTATTGGAATTAATGATTGAAGCATAGATTAAAAGAACATTCAAACTAAAGCAAAATACTGCAGATGGTAGAAATCAGAAACAAACACAGAAAACGCTGGAGAAACTCAGCAGGTCTGGCAGCATCTATGGAGAGAGAAACCCAGAGTTAATATTGCGTGTTCAATAGGACTCTTCTTCAGAACTAAAGTTTCTCCAGAATTCTGTGTTTATTATAAGAACATTTATGCATTAGATAGGAACTAGAAATGATATGGGAAAAAATGGATGAGGACAGTAACATATGGAAGACGAATAATAACATGGATTGCATGCAGTCAGTTTCTGCTTAGTAGCTTTTATTTATATGAAAGTAACTGTAAATGGAAGGCAATATATGTTGAATTCATAGTATTTTCTGGGCAATTTCTTAGAGCAACATGTTGGCTGCACGGTGGCTTGGTGGTTAGCACTGCTGCCTCACAGCGCCAGGGACCCAGGTTCGATTCCCAGGTTCGACTGTCTGTGTGGAGTTTGCACGTTCTCCCCATGTCTGTGTGGGTTTCCTCCAGGTGCTCTGGTTTCCTCCCACAGTCTAAAGATGTGCAAGCTATGTGGATTGGCCATGCTAAATTGCCCATAGTGTTCAGGGATGTGTGGGTTATAGGGGGATGGGTCTGGTGGGATGCTCTGAGGGTTGGTGTGGACTTATCGGGCTGAAGGGCCTGTTTCCACACTGTAGGGATTCTATGTTCAAGAGTCAACCAACGAGTAGGTTTTGCAGGGGTTGGTAATATACAATGTGACAGGATAATGGCTCCATTAAATGTGTTCCTAGATGGTGGAAACCATAATATGATTGAATTTTGCATTCAGATTAAAGGAGAGGATCGATTACCAGTATTTTAGTTTTAAGGGCAATTATGAAGTCATTACGACAAATCTGGCTAAAGTGAACTGGGAAACCAAGTTACTCAGCTCCTGACCTCTTCATAGCCTTAGTTAAAACATGGACAAAACAGCAGAATTCCCATTGGTGAGGTGAAAGTGACTGCCCTTGACTTCAAGGCTGCAGTTGGCTGAGTGTAACATCAAGGGGCCCTAGCAAAACTGGAGTCAAAGGGAATCAGGGTGGGGGTAATCCCTCCACTGGTTGGAGTCACATCCAGCACAAAGGAATATGGTTGTTTGAGGTCAGTCATCTCCACGTGCCAGGACATGTCTACAGAAGTTCCTCAGGGTAGTGTCTCAGGCTCAACCATCTTCGGTTGCTTTATCAATACCTTCCCTCCATCATAGAATCAGAAGTGAGGATGTTCAATGATGATTGCACAACATGCAGCACTGTTCACAACTCCTCAGATACTGAAGCACTCCATGACCAAATGCAAAAAGTCCTGGACAACATCCAGGCTTATGCTGAAAAATGGCAAGTAATGTTTGTCCCATACATGCCAGGCATTGACCATCTGCAACAAGAGAAAATTTAACAAGGGCAAATCAATATTTATACTGCATGAAAGAGTGCTGGACAAGTGGAGTCTGATTGGCAAAGGTACTGCATAGAGAATACACCCATTAATATTAATTGACAATTAACAGCCAAGCTTGTTTAAACTGGGTTAGGTTCACTCTAATTAGTCAGGGCACCGACCTGAGAAATAAACCAATGAATGGCTGTCACCGATTTTTGCTGAGTTCAAACAGATGCAGTATATGTACATGTTCTTCCAGTCGGCAAGGAACAGGACACTGCGTATTAATATATCTATCTTTCAGACCTCCTAAATGCACCACAACTAAGTCCTTGCACATTCAGTATTATTTAACAACTGTTGTCCCATTGCAGAAGCACATCTGATGTTAGACTCTGTTGTGTTTTGCAAGGACACAACCTGTTTGGGTATGGTCAGTATCTTGCTTGTTGCGAACAGAAGAAGGTATACACTGTTGGAAAAAGATCAGCCATTCTTTGGGATGTATGACCTATGTACCTAGCATCACAGCAGCACTGAAAATCATTTACCACATTAGTCGCCATGTGTATAGGCAGGAAATCTGTTTGGTTTGGCGGCAAACATCAGTTGTGTTGCTACTCCTCGTGGCGTCATGAAACAGCTCCATTCAACTGTTGCTCAAACAGTGACATCACCTCACCCTTTCAGGAACAGGCAAAGTCAACCGTTCACTGCTTCATTCCTCATGGCAATGTCTGACTGAGAGCCAACCTACTTAGTTTAAAATTCAAAATGTGTTTTCCACAATACTCAAGACTGCATTTATTGTCCACTTTTTAGTTGCACTCTGAAACAGCTGCAGAGTCAACCAAGCTTTGTGGGGTCATCCATTTTCTTTTGGATACCAGCCCAGAAACCAGAAAATTGAGTTCAGCTTTAAATCCGCCTCTGTGAGATGTAAACACCTAACAGGGGTCATCAGGCTCAATATTGCACAGAGGATTATTGTGCTTTGTAATGGATCTTGGTGATGAAACCTGCACTTCCAAACTGCCTTCTTTCAAACACTGAAACTGTTACTGAAGTAACAGCACAAAACCTTCACTAGTTGTTAGTTTGGCATTGAACCATATGACTATATATTCAATAGCTTCTGCCGATGCAGCCTGAATGCTTGAGATGCCGTTAGGAATGGATCTTTCCAGGAACAAAATCAATCCTTGGACAATGGCCTGATTTGGATGGCCTCAGTCATAAATGAGTTGTTCTTCATGCTCCACTTGTGGAGTAAGTGGTACATCTTCCCTGACTTGCTTTCAAGCTGTTGAAGATTTGATAAAATTTTCTATGCAAGGTTGAAACTTCACAATTTGGATCAGTTATAAGGCTGTGGTTGATGTTTGCAGTCTATCAGGAGGTGCATCACTGAGGGGCCAGGCTGTCATCAGTTTGTAGGGTGTGAAGTATGTTGCAGTAATGACTTTGGGATTTCAGACAGGTTCATGGTTGTGTCAGTGTGAATGTTTTCTCAGCTATTTGCTAGCAGTACTCTTTTTAAGGAGCATGTATTCCTATTGAGATCAGGAGGTTCAATATGGCTAATACAGGAAGTCAGCTGAACTGTGTCGGCCGTAATGTCCCTGAAATAGTCCCTACAATTTCCTGGAGGTGGCTACCTACAATATTTATGCAGAAGATAGTAACGCAGAGTAAGCAGCATTACTCCACTGTCTGGCTGACCAGCATGAGTATTCAGTGTATTGGTTGTGTTTTCCCACCAGTTTCTGTATGAGATTCACTTCTGTATGGACCTAGACTGTGGTGTTCTGGAAGTGTTTCTGGTAGGTCCATGTACCATTAAGAATGACGCCAAAATATTTTGGTGTTTAGTCATCAGTGAATAGTTGGCTGCAGGACTGAACATGAAGTTCTTTTCTGGCCCTTAACTGTTCAGGTGGAAGAATGAAACAACAATCTTGGCTGTATTTAGACAAAGTTTCCACTTTCTAAAGTAGGCTTCCAAAGGTCATTGATCTTCGGTGTGCATTTTCTTTCTGAAGATACGAAGCATCGTTGTTGACGAATCCTGCACCTGTGATAGTGGCACCCACATATTCAACTGAAGCTCTGCATTCACCTGTGTAAAAACCTCACAACTCATCAATACCTGGATCAGTGACTGACAGCTCAATGTACACCTTGGAGTTCAAATCAGCAGCACATAGCTGTGGGAAGCAAGTGTTGATTATGTATCAGTCTTCCCGCTGGCTCTCTTTAACATATTTGCCTGTGACTTCCCTCCCATAAAGTCTTTGCATATGCTAATCAGGTTGGAAAGCCAGAGCCATGTTTAGACTCAGGCCATCCAAAACTCTCACTGAAAGATGAAAAAAGAAATGCATTGATTGAAGAATCTAGTTATTGTCTTATTGGTTTAACTGGAGCTCAGCAGAAGAGCCTTTAATGCAAAGCAAAAGATACAGTTACAATGCTTAAAAGATTTGGATAAGTTCATGAATAGGAATGTTTGGAGGGATATGGGCCAAGTGCAGGCAGTTGGGACGAGTTTTGTTTGGGAGCATGGTTGGTGTAGGTTGATTGGACCGAAGGGTCTGTTTCCTTGCTGTATGACACTATGACAAGGGCAAGAAATGGAAGTTGATTTAAAAGAAAACAACAAAATAAACTAAGAATTCCCTGTAGACTACACAGAACTTGTGGAGGGAATAGGCAAGTAAATATTACACGTGGGTCCTTTTTTAGAAACTGTAGATTTAACTGCCTTTAGAAAAGAACTGATTTAAATGAATTTTGGAAAGTAACAACATAAGATTACATCACAAGAGAAAATATAAGCATTTGTGAACAAATCGTTGAGTCAATGGAAAGGGAGAGGGGCATAAGATTTTTTTTGTTGTACAATCTCTCCAGTTAGACCTTAAAATCACAAGTGATATTATGAACTCTGTTTTTGACTTTGAAATAATCCTGGGTTATGATTTCATTGAACTCCAATGGATTAGGATTTCTTGATAAACAAGTCTTTGCACAGCCCTGTCCCCAGTTCCTCCTTTGCAAGGTGCTTCTTTTCAGGTTAATGGTTGAATATTATTCATAGTAAGAAGAACTCTGCTCTCATGTGGCCAAACAGCAGTTTGGAAGGTTTCATGAATATATTAGACCAAATGAAATACTAATATTGACTAAAAAATTTCATCAAACAATGTTCATTAACAAACCACATCCAGTAATTTCTGAAATCTTTTTATTTAACAGCACCTAGATGCAAAATTTGCCAGACTCTTTCACAACAGTTCAGTTCCTCATTAAAACAACAGCTCTATATAACATGCACTGGTCAAGGTACAAAAACAGAAGTTGCTGGAAAAGCTCAGCAGGTCTGGCAGCATCTGTGAAGAAAACATCTGAGTTAACGTTTCAGGTCCAGTGACCCTTCCTCAGAACTGGTCATGGTACTCTGCTAAAGACAGATTCAGTTTAAAAAAAAACTGCCTATAAACTAGTAATTTACCTTCTATGACTACTGCAAGGTCTACTACTAGCAAAATAAATCTCAGTACTTACAGTTTGAGATTTAAACTTCCTGCCAAAAATGAACTACCATCCCAATATCTGTCAAATAATTTTAAATGTTTCTTGAATGGCAGGGTACAGCACAGGATATCATATAGTTTAAAATGCAACTCAGGTTGTACACACAGAACTGATATTAAGATAACGTTAATGAATATCTTTCAGAGTATAGGTTACAGCTTGAAAATGCAACAGTCCATAACAGGCAAATTAGTCTGATGGTTTACATCTCTCCGATATTTCTAGATTTACAAATTACAGATTAAAGTTTTGTGTTAATTTAAAATTAATTTTTATTCAGGCTATGTATCCATGGCAACTTCAAAACTTTGCTGTTTGAATCTCTAATATAATTCTTAGAACACAGATTATGGACTATATGGAAGCAAATTATCATAAGTTTTCATATTTATTTTAAAGACAGATTTCTTGTTCTGTTGCCTGAGGGGATTTGTTTTTATTCATTCACAGGATGAGGGTGTTGTTGGCTGGTCAGCATTTATTGCCCATCCCTACTTGCCCAGAGGGCAGTTAAGAGTCAACCACACGTGAGTCTGGAGTCACATGTAGGCCAGTCCAGGCAAGGATGGCAGTTTCCTTCCCTAAAGGACACTACAGACTGCAACAATGGTTTGTAAAACATGTGACAAATGATGGTAAATGAAATGCTTAGTGGTCAAATGTTCATTGTTTTTGGTAAAAATTCAATCCGTGTGAATTGAACAGTGGATGAAAAGAACTTTTTTTTTAAGCTTGGGAGAAAGCTGACTCAAATGGGTAATGGTTAGATGATATTTTTGAATTCCATCAAATTTTTCTCAAATGAATCTGCAAAGTCTACAATGCTTAGAATGTAAAACTCAGCACAAGGAGTAGTCAAGACATATATAGCATAAATGCATCTAAGTGGAGGTTAGGCAAAGACAAGAGGGAGAAGTGACGAGAAGGCTATGCTTATCAGGTTAGACGAAGAGGGACAGGAAGAAGCTCACGTACAGAATAAAAATAGCAACTCCTCAGTTGTTTCATGCAAAACTTTAAAATTATTTTTTATAGTGCAACTGGATATTTCTGAATATTTTTAAAGTGGATCCACAGATTAAATGGCCTGTTTCTGTGCTGTACATTCTACATAATTCACATTTCAAGTTTGAGATTAAATTTGTACAAGACTATTCATATAACATAACATATGGATACATATAGTTCACTACAACGATAAAATCACTTTCACATTCATTTAATGGTATAACCAGAAGTACCTAACCCAAAACGATGCTGCTTCAGATTCTTTCCACATCATTCTAAAAAATTTTCAAATAATGTTTGTCTACAGGTAATACGCAGACAACATGCATAAATTCATGTAGGTTTATGGACAAATATAATTTAAAAATTCTGTGAATGTTGGAAATCTGAGAAGAAAACAATGTACTGGAGAAATTCCACAGGTCTGGTGGTATCTGTGGGGAAAGAAATAGAGTTAACACTTCAAGTCCTAAATGACTCTTCTTCTCAACTTCTTCTGAACAAGTCATATTGAACTTGAAACATTAACTCTGTTTTTTCTCACTGTTCTGAAGAGTTGTATCGCACTCAATGTTAACTCTGTTTCTGTCTCCAAAGATAGTGCCAGACTTGTTGAGTTTCTCCAGCATTTTCTATTTTTAGGCTCACGACTAATTCACTCAGGTAGCACATAAGGTTTTGTGAGCTCTTTGGAAGGTGGTCGGTCTCCAATGTTGTTACACTGGTCCTTCGTACTTACGTTTAGCATTTCATCATATGTGGTGAACTGAGAAAGTCATTGTCCTCCTACCCGGAACTATCCATCTGGAGAAACTGTTTTCAGATGTATCAAACAAAAAAAAGACTTAAAATGAGGGAAAGAAATTTTAAAATAAATATCAAGAGGTATGACTGCTGGGGAATATGCATTGGAATCAGAGATTGCAAGCTGACAGTTAATCACATTTCTGTACATCTTTTAATCTTCCTCTTGGAGCACGGGAAAACTTTTAAATACTGATTTAATAGTTAAATTCAGTAAGGATACATAATTTTCTTCTTTGTGCTTTCAGAATAATTTATGAAAACAAATTTTACTTCTGGAAAAAAGGGACAAGCTATCAAGTTACATGTCTTGCACTCTTCAAGACAATTGCAAGAATGCCAAATTTTAAAGGCGGAAAGAACATTTACTTCTTGAGAAGAGGGTATGTATTCATTGGCAAATTAATGGGTTGAGGTGTTGCTATGGTGAATGCAACAGGGAACAATTGTCATCCATTCTTTGCTTTAATTCACGAAAGGTGCAATTCTTGAATTGTCCCTTTTCTCCTGCAACAGATAGGGCCCTGCGCATAAATATACGTAACTCCCAGCAAGTATACATGAATCACTTCGAGACCTTAACTGTTCACCATGTGCTGAACAATCAAAAGTGTGCTAGGAATTATATTAACAACTCATTTAAGATTGAGTTGAGCTTGCAAGTGCTGAACAATGGCAAAATCACAGTTAACATTAAACCAAAACAAAATCAGTCAAACCAAAAAAGATATTCTACCTATCGCATTGATGAGTAAAGTGGTAAGTTAATTGCAAGACAGGTGCAATACCAGTACATAGACCATAAAGCTCAATGACTTGCCTTTTACCTGTCTGCACTTGGTAGAGTACTGACTATACTCAACCAGCCAATGCTTGCACAACTCCCAGAACATAATGTAAAACAATAGGTATGATTCTATGATTACTCAAAACTTAATCAAATGCAAAGGCTTTTTGATAGTCCACATGCACTACAGTATCAGCATTATTGCAGTTCTGTTAACTCCAGGACTTGTCCTTAACAAGTCCATGCTGGCTTTCCTTAATGCGCTACCAATTTCCGAGATCATTATTCATTTTGTCCAAAATTATTATTTCTATGAGGTTGCTAGGCATATTACACTCTTTTACGAACAAAGGTGCAACATTTGCACTTCTGCACTGTCTGGAACCGTTGGAATCCATGGAAGACTGGAAAATTATGGCAAGTGCTTAGATTCAATAATGATGTACTGCAAATTAAAGATGAGACACACAAAAAAATCAAACTGATTATACTAAAACTATAAAATGAGGTTTACAGGATAATAAATCAAGCACTGACAGCTCGTATTTATTCTGTCTTGGGACACTGGAATGTTCTGAATCCTGGTAATGTGACTTTGCCTTGCGTGTAGATCTCTTCATCTGAACCTTGATTTATACGTTTCACCAAATTCTTCTCAAACATCAAGGGGTGGTAGGCACCCATTGTACAGGCCTGGTCCTGGAACGTTTCATAATAATGACAGAGATCTGTTCTTCTTCTTGAGGGCAGAAATTCATAAACATCTGTTTGATTGCAAATGGTCATCATTAACAGGATACCTGTGAGTGGGGGGAAAAAAGACATTATCTGATGGTGAGTGGATCAGAAGAAGAGGAAGAAGGCAACAGGTGGGAATACGTTCCAAGGAAAATTAAGGAACATAATAATATGATGGAGCATGTAACCATAGAGAAGTTCTACCTTCTTGCATGCATTTGTGTGGATGCAGGTTTTAAATCCGACTTCTTTCTTACATGAATGTCTTACTTAATCAGTGCACTCTTAGAATCTCCTGTCATATCACTTGAAGGGAACTCTTGCTTAACGGAGCTTTTTTTAGTTAACCTATCTTTCTAATCAACCTGTTCAGAGATGTTATCACACACCTCTGGAGCTGATGGGATTTGAACTCAGGTCTCTCAGTACTGAGGTAGGGACACTATCTCTGTGCCACAAGAGGGCCAAAGGATCAGTATTTTCAGAGGATGCTGATGCAATGCAGCTGATGAATGTCTTTGCTAACTGGGCAGTAATCTGATAGAGACTTTGCTTTTGTAGAGAGAATCACCTCCCTTCATAGATAGAATTTTCTTTCCATTTGTTTTTGGGCCATCCAAAGTCAAATTAAACCACATCCAATGACATATTTGCAACAGAACACATGTAACAAGTTATCACATTGCATCAAACCTGACAGCCTCGAGACTGTTTTGGCAATGAATAGAGGATGACCTCTGTAGTGAGTAATGATTGCACAATATTGCCTGCTTTCAGCTGTAAATGACAGAGCTGTTCTTAATCAACATTACACAGATGGTTCATTAATACAGTGCACACACAGAATTGAAACATCCAGCAGGTTACATTATTTAAATATTCACTGACTCACAAGCATTAAAATAAAAAAAACCTGCAAAACATTTCAGTACTTGCCACTGAGAAGGAAAAAGACAGTGGAAAGCAGGACTATCTTAGTTGATTGCATCAAGTGCTTTTTTTTTTGATACTCAATAATAAAATGTACAAATAACCGCATGAATCTTCTGCGCCAGCAGTAACTTATTTCAGGGACATTATACTCTCTGAGCCACTGATGAAACCATTCATGAGGCACCCAGAGCAATGTGTTTCAACTGCAAGATAATCAGCAAAAATTTTTTAAATTCACTCAATTTTTCACTCGTATTAGTAACTGGAAGAAATAAGTACTCTGATCACCCCAACCGGTGTGGTAGGTTACTCAGCTCAAAAGGCCAACAAACCACCATTTTGACACAAAACGTAGTCTTCGGAATCGATCTGAATTCGAGGTTGAACTCAGAAAATGTGACTCTCCACTGCAGCGTGGTGGTGAAAGGCAAGAAACCTTCCAATAATATATAATAAACCACAGCAATAATATACAGGTGATGGCTTTAACTTGTTGACAGTGGGACTTCCACTCCTCAGGAACAGAAAATCCTAGCCCCAAGAATCAGAATGACCAGAAACTGGGTAGGCCCCAGCATCACTGGAACATAGTAACGGCCACTGGTGGAACAACAAGTGAGTCCCTGGAAGATCACAGATACTGGATTTTAAGGTAATCCAGGGGTTTTGCACAGTGCTCTAGAGAGAGTTAACAAATGGGTGTGTCGGGAAATTTTAGAGGAAGTCAGGAAGCACAAAGATGGGGGATGGGGGGATGAGGTGTATGGTATATCTCCAATAGGACCAGCTCCCAACACCCACTCCCTTCCAAATGATGTACCCTCCCTCCCTGCCTGCTTTTACTCAGTAGGATAAAAAGCAGACTGGCTACTTTCATTCCAACATCCCCTGTGCAAATGTATTAAGCCGGCTGAGGTGGAAAAAGGCCCTTAAGTGGCCTTTTACAAAATCTATTCTTTCACAAGATCTAGATGTTGCTGACTAGGCCAGCATTTATTCCCCATCTCTAGTTGCCCTTCAGAAGGTGATGGAAAGCTGATTTCTTGAAATGCTGCAGGCCACATGGTATAGATAGATACAAACATAGTGATGTGAAGTTCCTCAACAGGCTTAAAGGCAAGTGGGCTGGCTCTGCCTTACTCTCCCACCCAGTGCAATATGGGAGACAGCCCTGGCTGGTAAGAGGACAATGAGCTACTATTTCTGACCCCTTCTGCCCTTACATAATTTAAGTAAAGGTGACATACATCTGGACCTGAGGACTTGTTAATCTACAGCTTCATCAGTTTGTTTAGTACCACTTCTCTTACGATTGTAATTTCACTAGGTTCCTCTCTCCCAGCTGCTGATTACTGGGATCATTTTCGTCTCCTCTATAGTGAAAACAGAAGCAACATATTTGTTCATTTCATCTGTTCTTTCCTTATTATCAGCTGCTAGCTCCTTATTTTAAGTCTCTAAATAACAGGCACTCACTTTTCTTACTCTTTTCCTTTTCTATTATCTATACTAACGTTTGCTGTCCATTTTTATTCTTCTAGCTGGCTTCCTCTTGTACTGTAACTTCTTCATCCTGATTAACCTCTTAGTCATTCTTGGCTGTTCTTTACCAAACATCTGATATGCCACTCATCTTTGCTCAAGTTTTTATTTCCCTTAAGTTTGATGCTTTCCCTAAGTACTTTCCTGAACATAGATGGTGGGACTTTCCTTTAAAATTTTTCTTTATAGCAGGAATGTTCTGAACATTTATTCTGGTGAACATTTATTCTGGAATATCTTCACTGAGTCTCTAATCCCCCAGCCTACTATGTCAGTTACTTCAGCTAGTTTAGCTTTCATACCCACACAGATGCCTTTATCTAAGTTTAAAATGCCAGTCTTAGAACCACTTTCTGTTCTTTCAAACTGGATAGAAAATTCAACTATATTGTTGTCACTGCCACCTAGGGGCACCTTTACTCTGAGGTAATTAATTAATACTGTCGCATTACACTAGATCAAGCTTTGTACAGCCTCCTCTTCTCCTCCAGAACATGCTGCTCCAAGAAACTATCTTGGAAGCATTCGATGCACTCCTCGTCCAGGATATTACTGCCAATCTGATTTTGTCAGTTTATATGTCGAAAGAAAATGAGCATCAAGCACTGATTGTAACGTTGTAAAAGTAAAATTGAACTCATGGTGTTAACTTGCTTCTCTTGGATGCTGTGAAATTATGTTTGTTTCTTTCCTCCAACATTTCTTACCTATAGTTCAACACTTCCACCTACTGGTCAGAAATTCCAAAATAATTTCAATATAAATTTATTTGTGCTTAATGAAGTTGTTTTCATGAAGGTGGTTTGAAACGGCCGTAACACCCAGCAGGGATCAAGAACGGGCGACCATATATTTTATTTTCTACTTTTGTTTTTTTTTTCATTTGGATGTAATTGCAAATTTCATATTTGTATTTGTCCTCTGAAAGTGATCGTGGCCCTCTACTATTCGATACTATCAAGTGGCTTGCTAGGCCACTGATGAAGGCAATTAGGATCTAACCATTTGTTGTGGGACTGAAAGTCACATATAAGTGAAGACAGCAACAATTGTGTATATATTACATTTTTAACATTGTAAAACATCTCAAAGTACTCCACAGTAGCGCTAGAAAAGGAAATTTTAAGACTAAGAGCTCAGTCAAGGTTTTAAAAAGTGTCTTCAGATAAAAAAAAGCTACTTATTGTGAACGCTCCTGTTAAACTTGGTCTGAACCTTTTGTCGTGGTGGGCACTTGTTGTCACCTAAAATGAATGCCGCCTTCATTTCAATACTGAAATGAGGGACCATGGTCTACTTCTGAACCTCTTTGTGATAATTTAAAGTTTTGAGGCTCTACTGCTGCCTTACAAAGTGATGTTTAAAAGAACCACTGGAAGATATAGTGGAAATTTGTGGATACGTTTCTTTGATAGTTAATATGAACCCAGCATGGGAAGGAGTACCCTAGCAAAGTGTAGCTGCTGCCAGCCTACACTGGCATCTCACATGCAGTCACACACTATCAGCTTGTGCATCTTCCATGCCACTCCTGTTCAGGGATAGTGAGACAAATCATAAAGTAGGCTAGCCCTTATTCTAAAAAAAAATGAGAAACCTAGGTGTAAATGCAAGACCCACAACACAAGACATCACAAGAGCTGAAAAGGAAAGGGAGAAGGCAAGATAAATTATTTACTTATCAACTAAATGTAAAGCATTGGGGATGAAGAGTTCCATAGTTAAAGGAACGGAACCTGTCCTTAAACTAGCCCACATGTTTATGGGTGGAGCAGCAGCTTTTGCTTACTCTCTCCAAGCTTTCCCTAAGCCTTTCTTTTGCTGTTTCTTTCCATGATTTTAAGATCTCTCCAGACCCAAACTCTCTTCATCCAAACTCTCAACTGTCTCTCTTAATCCTTCAACCAGTTTCCATATTTAGTAACACAGGGTTGTTTTGAACAAATAAAAAAAACAGGTATATTGAGTCTACCCTGCCAAACTGTCCAATGTGTTCCACCAATAGAATGCTATGAGTGAAGCTATAGAATAGCATATTTCCCTTTGGGAAAGTGGATACAGCTCTGCAATTGAGCAAATATTCTGACCTGACCCTTTAGTGCAGTACAGATACAGTGCTGCATTATCAGAGCAGCACTCGTCTGGGTGTGATATTAAATTGAGGCCCCCAAATGACTCAAGTGGATGAAAAGGATTTCACAACATTGTTCAAGGCTGAGCAGATAGCTCTCCCAATGATCAGAACAATATTCATCCCTCAAATCACGTAACTACAATGGATCTATGGGGATTGCTTATTTATTTCACATGTTTTAGTACAATTTGGCTGCCAGATTTGCCCACAAACTGTAACCTTTCTTCAGAGGAAATCCATTGATTATGAAGAGGCCTGGGGTTATCTCAGGGAAAGTTCTCCTTTCTTACTGTGTTTGATTCTGAGACTGATTGCTTACCGCAGTGTTTTCGAATGTGAAATTATCTAGTGTTTTTTGTAAATCTGCCAATGTTTCCTGGTCCATTGCTCCCAACTGTAACCTGTTCCAAAATTCTGTCCATGCAGTCATTTTTTAAAAAGTGCTATTGTCTAAAATTCCCATCTTCTTAAATTTAAATGGAGTGCCAAAGAAAACTTGGCTGAATTTAAATTTTGCATTGCCATGATAATCCAGAAGTTCTTTATTAAATCTCCATTTTTCCAGCACTTTCCTCATAAATCAGGCTTCTGAGGTTTTGTCAGGTATCCTTCAGCTTTTCTCCAGCTCTTATATTAAATCTATATTGAAAGAAACTCTCAATTTCCTAGCTACCTTCAGTTCTGAGGAAGGGTCACAGGACCCAAAACCTTAACTCTGGTATCTCCCCACAAATGATGCCAAACGTGCTGAGATTTCCCAGCAATTTCTATTTTTGTTTGTGATTAAATCTATATTCCTTGGTTATTCACCCCACTACTAAATGGAAAAAGTGCCTCAACTCAAATATCTTATTCCTCAGGCTGCTTGTTAAAATATATTTCCTTTAGCCTTGTTAAACTCTCTGCTTTCTTTCCAAGCCTACGTTTCCTGCGCCTTTCAGACTCATTCACGTTTTAACTTTAATTCCATCTCAGCTTCTTTCCCCTCTGTACAACTTCTCAAGATCCCATCCCCCTGCCGATCTCATTCAAATTCAATCCAACAGTCTTAATAAACCTCCCTATGAAGACGTTGGTCCCATACTGATCAGATGTAACCCATCCAACTTGTACAGTTTCCTCCTGCCCCTGCCCATGCCCCAAGCCCCAATAGTTCCAATGCTACAGGAACCTAATGCCTCACTCTTCCACCATCTCTCCAGCTAAGCAGTCATCTGCTCTATCCTTCTCAATATTTCTGTGTGGCACTGGAAGTAATCCAGAGCTTACAACCTTTGAAGGTCAGCTCATCAACTTCTTATCGAACTCCCGAAAGTCTGCTTATACGACCTCATTTCTCTTCCTTCCTATGTCACTGATTATGGACTGCCTGTTCAAACTGACCATCCAGAATGCTCTGCAGCCATTCTGTGACATCCTTGACTCTGGCACATGACAGGCAACGTACCATCCTAGACAGCCACAAAAATGTCTGCCTCTTTTCCTCAAATCATTTTCACCTCGTCCACTCCTCTCTGTGACGCAGACTGCCTACAACAGGGTCCCCACCTTGCCTGCTCCTCTCCATGACGCTGACTGCCCGTCACAGGGTCCCCACCTCGCCC